TAATTAATTAGCTCCACAATTCTTGTCATATTCTTAATTGCTAGAAGTCATACAAGGCGGAAGAGTTGTAGGAAAAGCGACTAAAGTAAATTTGAGTTCACATTTTACTCTTAGGAAGCAGCCACAAAAAGAATGTGTTTGTGAAAGTAGTAAAAGCAAATTCGAGTTCACCTTTATAAAAGTTAAATAAATAGTAATCTCTATGTATGTACCATGTCCACCATTCCATTTACAACTCGCTTGATTAATGGGGACGAAACTAGGTAATGACCCTTTTTAAAGAAGTTAAAATGAGAGGGAAAAACAATTTTTCTAAGGATAATGCTAGTGGGGTGCCACAAGTAAAGGATAGCAAAACTACCTCGTTAACTTTTGTGATCATTAAACATGTTATCCAATGTTGCAGTATTCAGAACGCATAGTACTAATTCTGTTCTCTTCCAAATACTGATGAAAGCTTTAAGTTCCTGAGGTTACCAACCTCAAGAAAAAAGAACGAGAATAGAGTAGAGGATACAAATGAATCTAGATCCCCGGAGACATTTTCTCTTCAATTTTGTTCTTGACGGATCATCTACCATTAATAAGTGAAAGACCGATTTGTATATAATAGGTGGTCCCATTTGAATGCAAAGTAGGTGGTCGAGCGAATTGAAAAAAAAATATATTAGAGAATATCTCACTCCAACACAAATGTAAGCAAATGAACTATATATCACCTCATCAATGTCACACATGACCACCTTCTCTACAGTGTTGTGCCGCAGTAATTCTCTTGCAGTAGAACCCTCACCTCCCCCCATGATAAAGATGCTCTTGGGACTGACAATGCATATGCACAAAAGCATCAGATAACAAAGATCAAAATACTTGAAAATTCTCAGACACTCAAAAATACTGATAGATAGTTCAGAAAAAGTACTTTGGGTTGTGAAGAAGTGCTGGGTGGACAAGAGATTCATGGTAGATGAATTCATCTATCTCTGCTGCACTTTGAAGTTTTCCATCAATGACTAGAGCCTGTGTCAAAAAAAAGAAAAACCCAGAGAGATTTAACACTAAACAAAGAAGAGGGTATCGGAGAGAGTTTGATTAAATGTATATGCAAGTAAATGACAGACCTTTCCAAAGGGCTTTGTGTCCAAAAGTTGAATGTCCTGGAATTGAGTAGCTCCTGTGTGCAAAATGCTGCAGAAAAAAATGGAAAAATAAAATTATGTTTCATCACGTTGTTGGACGGAGAGTAAGCGTGTCCTGATACAACAATAAGATTGTTAATTGTATTTTGTGCGTCATAAGTTCGAATCACAAAGATATTTCTGTACAACGGTAAAATTGTCAAACTCTGATATGAGTGTTCAGGTGCAAGTCACTTGGATAATTTAGGGATAGAACTATACACATCTAATATTATTCGTACCCAACAATCACGACTTATACACAACTTTAACTTTTTATCTAGTTGAACTATGTAATCAAGGCCAACTTGGTTTTAATTACATTTATCTTATCTGGTCTGACTTTTTATAGACAAGACTTTTGGAAAATCACTACAGAAACTTTCCCACTTTTTGAGAGAATTTCTAGACTATGAAAGCTTAGGCCATATACTATTATAATACAAGCCATAGATTCTGAGTAAAAAGGGTAACCCAAAATCTGGAAAACACCTAGCAGACAGCTTAAACTTTTGTTTTTTCTCAACACATTGAAAAGCGTAGCTTCTTCTGCCTTAATAAAGTCTTTTAATGATTTTGTTCATGAGCCTTCCATAACTATAGAAAATAAGCAATGCTATGTGTACGAACTATTAGATTAGTGCGCTTATTATCATCTAGTGACTCATCATTTTTAAGAAAATTTTGGTGCACGTAGCATTTCCGCCCTCAAAAACACATTTATTATATTAATGTGAAGGTACAGGTACAGCTAAATGGATTTCCTTAACACTATGAAATGGTGGAAGTTATTGAATTGAACAGAGTTAAATATGTGTGTGTGCATGCGTTGGGGATACCTATTGAGAGCAAAGCACCATCTCAAGTTCTCTTCAATTTCTTCTTCATACCAACAGCTCTTTCTTTGTGCTCCTCCCACCGAATGGCCATTGCCATGAAAGCCATTCCCATTGCTAATCCCATTCGAGAAAGATATGTCACCCATTTTCCTATACTCACAGAGAGAGAGAGAGAGAGAGAGAGAGAGAGAGAGATGATGCTAAGGGATGGAGAGAAGTGAGGCTTAGTGCACATAATATATAAGAAGGAAAGGTGGCATGGAAATCGAAAAGGAGCATGATTGAAGTTGGGTATGGAAGTGTTGGATATCTAGTAAAAGTGGGTGGGGTTCAATACTTAAGTCTGAAAAGAGGCAGAAACAATCCTCATGGATTTTCGCAACTAATAGGAAGGATAAATATTAAAAAGAGTAAAAGACCAAAGTTGAGATTTCTAAGGTGATTTGGCCGCATGGTTTTTTTTTTTTTTTTTTTTTCTAGATGTCCAAATTTGTATTAACTATTCTCGAATTTTGGTCAGCTAACATAACTCGGGCTAATTTCAGGATATATCCCTAAAGAATAAAGATGGTTCATCCCTATATAAGAATTATTAAATCTAAAACTTTTTACTTACAAGAAGACATGTTTGGCCACTAGATCATTCTAAAAGTTTTGGCCGCATGGATTGTCTTAGTTCTCAAAGGATTATATATATACCAAAAATTGAGCATGATTATGCAATATTTATATTTTAAATAATAATTTATTTTTTCATTTTTTTTACTTCGGCAACTTATAAAATTGAAGTGTTCTTAAAGAAAATAAGAGAAAAGCATGAAAGAGAGAAAAAAAAAAAGAAAAAAAAAGGTATTTATAGATTATTAGGGTTGTCTGGGATAGGACAATGTCTGATTATGTTATCTAGCATTGGGAGCAGTATAGAGAAGATGAAGTTTTTAGGCTAAAAAATATTTTTGTAATGAATTTTATACTGTTAAATGAAATCGGATGAATATTGAATTAAGTTCAACTTTTATTGTGATTTTATAAATGTGCAATTCAAATTGCGAGTTGTAATATTATATGAATGACGAGATAAGTACTTGTTGTGACCGATAGTATAACTTAACGTGTCACTACCGTTATGTGATATCACTATCTAGTATTAGTAAAAACATAGTAGGTAAGTGAACTCCTCACACTTCAGTAATCATTCTGCAATGTAGTTTAATGGCTGGTCTACGTAAAAAATAAAAATAAAATTTACTTTATTCATTTGATATTTTATTATTGAATAATGATATTATGAAATAATATTTATATGGGATGAGCCAATAAACCTTTGACACCTGGGTATTTATATGTTATGCATATGATGAAAACATAGGCATGTGAGTTGATCATGGGAATGGACTGATGATGCATCGCACAACCAGGGAAAAAAAAAACCATATTCGACAGAGAAGGGAAGAAATCATATTCGACAGAGATTTTGGAGGAAGAAAAGGATAAAAGATGATGATTGAGGTTGTGACAATTACCGAAAATCAGGGTTATATCCTTTCTTCAGAAACTTGTGCAAACCTTGGGTTTTGGAGAGAGAGAGAGAGAGAGAGAAAGGCGTGCAATGAGAATCATGATTGGTATTATATTCTCTTGCTCAAAAGATGAAACGAGCGTGCCAAGCCAGGCGCACTCATGATCATCACCACACCATCACCATTATCATCAGACCATCAATCCTCCCCCCGACAGAAACATTTCAACCCCACCCATCATCAGTGTGTATAAATATATATATACACTTACTAATGCCATGATGTGTATGCCCAGTTAAGTTACTTCCACTTGGTTCTTTTGGATAAAGGTTACCAAATAGAGATGCAACTCCATTGAGTTGGCACACCTGTCAATCAGCTCAAATTAGCATATTTTTTAATTCACATTTATATTCAATTTGAGTGTCAACTCGGGTTGAAATCGGAATTGATTCTCGAGTTATATAACTCTACCTCAAATTCAAGTCAAAACCAAATTTATTACTTAGATTAGGCTCAAATTGTGTCATGAAAATTCGATATCTCAACCCTAGTATTATTTAAATTTAAATCGAGCTGAGATTAACCACCAATTTTTAGGTTCCAGATGAAGCCATTGGGTCATGGACATGTTTGTAACTTGTGATGTCAAAAATGACATCATCATGATGTGCCAAAAGAGTGGAGAAGCCACTACAAGGGGCATGGAAGCATGTTTTTGTTGCTGCATCATGAATTTGCAGGCCAATAACAGATGCAAAGAAGAAATTATATGTGTAGGGTTTTGTGGGTGATGATGAATGCACCCACCTCCTGTTTTGGAAAGTTATGATTTCCTCCAAGGACTTATAATCAATCTTCTTTGCTTCTTTGTTGTGTAATCTACTCTTTCACTCTGTGGGATAGTAGGGTTAGGGTAGTGTGGATGGAAATACTTCTAGATTATTTATTTCATCTCTTAGATTTGATTTTCATATATTTTGGTGTATTCAATGCGTATGATTTACAGATAATGATCACGTATAATTAATTTAGATTAAACAATCAATGAATAACACTGTTGATGTTTTGGCTTATTATGCCTTACAATGTAATGACTCGTTATTATGTAGGGAGAAGTACCCTGATTTTCTGACACTTTATCTCTGTGATTATATCCTTGTTTCGTGATTCAATAAATACATTGCTATCGTTCCATATTAAAAAGAAAATTTAGAGTTTACGTTATAAAGGCACATGTTCAAAAAATACTTATAACTAAAAATAAAAGGAAAAATTTCATTGACAATTCTTGGATTTAAGTCATATTTTACTGACACCCTCTCTGGTTTCTGAAATATCACTGAATACCACTGTCAATTTTTTTTTCTTAATAGAATACGTAATTTTACTAAATTACCTTTATTAGAACTCCCATTTTACTTAATTACTGTTACTTAAATTAATGCAAAAATAATCTATAATTTTATTACATTCACATCATTGAAATAGATTCAATTATGTAGTAACACTTGGAAATTAGTGGATTTATCCTAAGGTTCTAAGCCTATGAGATGTAAAATGGGTTTTCGAAAGAAAATATTGTTATGATAATTCTATACAAATTTTTAAAGCCCGATTAGTAGATGAGGATTTTAAGCAAGAAGAAAGTATAGATTACTTTTCACTTGTGACTAGAATAACTTCAATTCAAATTTTTACCCACAGTACCAACACCTTTTAATTTTATAAACCATTTCAAATGCCAAAATGGAATTTTACAAATCATTTCAATTAAATCGAATTCTTTCTGTTGGTAGGCCTTATGAGCTTAATGAGAGATATGCTATCTTTAAACTATTATGTTATTCCTCTCCCTCCATATGCTGTACACAATAGCAGAGAGGCTCAATTTTAATATTATAACTGATGATACCAAAAAATAAAAATAAAGCTCGGACATGTCAGGTCAAGTCAGCATGTGCCGAGCAAGTCAAGTTAGGTTGGCATAAGCCAAGTAGGTCAGGTTAGCTAGCTCGGTCAATCCAGTTCAAGTCAAGTCAAGTCAGCTCGATTAGATAGGTCAAGTAAGTTCAAGGTAGCCCTAATCAATATTTATTCAAATCAGGAACGGGATTCTAGAAGAAGACAAATAATATACAAACTACCAGAAGGGATAGTTTCACCATCAAACTCTACCTTGAACAAGAAGTCACCGTTTCTAAAAGATTATGTCATTATAGTAGAATGGTCTAACTCTTCGGCTAGGTGAGTGATCACTCATTTTTTCACACACTCGACAAACCTCACCTAGAACTTATCCGGTCCATCCACCTCATGCTCAATTTTTTACCCCATCAATAATCAACACAATTTTCCCTTTCTATTGTTGAACGTTGAGTTAACTTTAACGGACTAATATGTCCCTTTTCTTGCAGTTGGAACCAACATTTTCATCTTACAAAGCAAACCTAACATCTTCCGTTTTGGACGGATAAACGTTTGTTATAAGTCATAAGTCTCATTTAACGCGTGATTGACTCTATGACGTCTCAGACTGCTCGTTTTATATTTCTCAAGTCACCATTCTACGACTTGTGACAGAGGGACACTAGGGCCAAGGGGGCCTAGTCCCACCCTCAAATTTTGAATTTTTTTTATTGATATACATGTATCAACTTTGTTAAATGTTTTTCAAAATAATTTTATTGTCCTCACCCTAATATTTTTTGTAAAAGTTAACACAATGACTGAATATATTACATACATGCTTTAGACATGTTTGTATATATTTTGAACATAATGAAACCCATTTTTGTAAATTTTTTTAAAAAAAATTAAGTTTCTTTAAATATTAATTCAAAAGTAGGATTATTATGTGATAAAATATAAAATTATTTTTTAAGCAATATAAGAAACATGTTAATAAAATAAAGTGAACAAACATTTGACATATAAACATCATAATTTTACGAGATTATCCACATAAAATGAAAACAAAGAAGAGACTAACAGAAAGTTCAAGAGAAACAGAGAGATAAGAATAAGTAGTTGGTGCCTGTGCAAGCCTCGTATAAGCTATTTTCTGTCTTTATGTGAAATCTTAGAAGGCAATAATAATGTTGTCCATAAATTTTTTGCTAATTTTCAACATCTTTTTTCTCATAATTTTTGCCTAACATTTTTTTTTTCTAAACTATGAACTTTAACTAGTCTTTAATTTCTGGTTTAATGTATTTTATTACAGTAGAGATTTTTGTGATTAATATATTCTTGGGTATAATTTATAATTATTTTTTTTGTTTGTACTCTCAGTTAACGTGAAATTACTTATAATTGGGCTACAAGTATTTTTTAATTTTCAACGATTGATCTCTGTCCAAATTATTATTATATTTTTATTGATTAAAAAATATTAATTAAATTTTAGAATTAAAGTGTCCACCCTAAATTAAATTATAGCCTCCATTACTAATCTGCAATGCCAATATAATATAAATCTTTAATCGTGTTGAATTTGTTTTTGTATCTAAAATTTTGTATGTAACCTTCGACATACTTTCGTGACGTCACAACCGATGCATCTCAAAAACCTACAAATAGATGGTTAATACTGCAACCCTGTAGCACATCAGAAATCTAGTACC